AATGGTATCAATGTGGATTTCACAAGTTTCAAAATCTCCCCTCCCCCTACCGCATCCCAAAACCAGTCCAGCTCGTCCCTGCCTCCCTAACCTGTTCTTCCTCCCACTACCCTCTCCTCCCACCTCAAGCCGCACCTCCATCTCCTACCGACTAACCTCATCCCACCCCCTTGACCTGTCTGTCCTCCCCGGACTGACCAATCCCCTCCCTAACCCCCCACCTACACTCACCTTTACTGGCCCCATCCCCGCCTCTTCGACCTGTTTGTTTCCTCTCCACCTATCCTCTCGTCTATCCATCTTCTATCCGCCTCCCACTCTCTCCCTATTTATTTCAGAACCCCCTTCCCCTCCCCCTTTTCTGATGAAGGGTCTAGGCCCGAAACGTCAGCCTTTCTGCTCCTATGATGCTGCTTGGCCTGCTGTGTTCATCCAGCCCTGCACCTTGTTGTCTCAGATTCACCAGCATCTGCAGTTCCAACTATCTCTCTCACTATTAAGTTTTCTTGTCCTTTCCTAAATGAATATCCTGCTGATGCCTATCTCCAGACAACAAACATATCATATGCTTGTTTGATGAAAGAACCTGGGACACAACCGAGGCCATACAAGTGCAAAATTTAGCGAGCAGTTGTGAGACAGTTGCAGGAGACCGCCACAGACCTGATCAGAGACATCAACAATGGAGGATGAGAAAGGGAGGAAGGGAGCTAGTGGTGGGAGCGGGGATTGAGGAATTGATTGGAGGCAGCAGCAGCAGTGGACAACAGAAAAAAAGTGTATAAGGGAGGAGCGCAGGCCCTTTTTAAAAAGTTCTACACCCTTCTGCTCCCTCGCTTGCTCCTCTCTCTCTTATTCTCTGTTCCTGCTGCTGATTCTTCTCAGATAATTGAGTGAGTAAAGTGTTTGTTATTTTTTTATAACAATGATAATTTCTAAATCATTAAAAGAATGCAAAATAACAGAAATATTTCAGGATAGATAAAAACTATTTCTATGATGTTTCTGCTGCAATGGGATACACCAGGCAAGTACCCCAGTGATTCAGCAAAATCGCTGATGCAAGTATCTAAAATTTGCATGCAATTTTATTACTTTTCAAGGTTTTAAAAATACAAAACAAAACCTAAACCAAGAAGCTTCAAGGAGGTGAGGTTAGATTCTCAGAACAATTCTGGCTAGTTTTGTTTTCTTTCTCCTTCCCCAAAGCTGCATGCCTCCAAGCAAAAGACACACAACACTGCACATCACAGGCACAATAAACTCTCCCTCACTATCTCTGTTTCTATACTTTTCTCCCATTCTCTTCCTTTCTCTCTCAACTTCCAGTTTGTTCAATCTTCCTTCACCTCTCTGTCTTGTTCTTTATTTCTTTCTCTCTCTGTCTCCTTTCCCCAAATTTATGTAACGTCCTCAATATTTGTGTTAGTTTGTTCTGCTCCCTCCCCATTTTGATTTTTTTCTCCTGTCTGCTACTCTCCTGTCTGCGTTTGTGAATCTCTCTCTTGCTCCCTAGTTTGTTTCTGCCTTTTATTTCTCTACCTTCCCAATTTCTGTTTTCCTGTCTCCCTCTCCCTTCGCTCCCTTCCCAGTTTCTGTTTCTCTCCTTGAAGTTCTTGTTCCTCCCTATTACCCTGACACTAGCCCATCCTCACAAACTGTAATACAGCCTGATTCCTTCAATAAAGAACAGCAGAGCACAGGAACAGGCCCTCTGGCCCACCAAGATTGTGCTGACACATGATGCCTTTCTAAACTAAAACCCTTTTGTGTCTGTGCAGTCCGTCTGCTTCTATAGTCCGTACCTATTCATATATCAGTCAAGATATCTCTCAAACATTTCTATTGTATCTACCTCCACCACCTCCTCTGGCAGGCCATTCTAGGCACTTACCATCCTCTGTTTTTTAAAAATAAAACTGACCCCTCACATCTCCTTTAAACTTGCCTTCTTCTACTTTAAAACCTTCCTGCAGAGTTCTAACAGTTTGGCTCTGTTATTTACAACCTGTAGTAGCTTTATATGGCACATGCTCAAATTGCCAGTAGCACCCTCTTAAAGACCCATCACCAATTTTAATAGACTCCTGTTCAAAGTAGAAGGTTTGGGAACCTTTATGTAAATGGAACTTGAAGCTTATCTATCTGTAGGTTTTTTGGCTAGCAAATCCCACTCTGAAATTAAAAATGCCAACTCCACAGGATCCATGCTATAGCCTCCATTTGTAAGAGAGAAATATAAACCAGGGCAGTTTCTTAAAAAAGAAACTGATAATGATAAGCCCATTTGTAAAGCCTTAATTTGGAGTATATCTTTAACTGGCAAGGTACAAAATTTTAGACCCTCCGAATGATTGCAGTTACAATGGGTTTTTTGTTAATCATTCAAAACACTTCTGTATTTTAGAGCTACTTTTGTGCAAGCATTTGCAACTTGGATGGATGTCAGGAGTCAGACCATTGAAAGATCTGTCAGCAATGTGTCTCCTACCATGGCCACTTCTCTGAACACTGTCACTCTATCTCAGAGGGTCAGTTTAACCTTAAATTTTGATTCAAACACAGTCAGTCATGATTGTTTAACATTTATGAACTGCAATGTATCCTTTTCAGTTACCGCTGCTGAAACAATTTACTAATTATAATAAACATTCTGCAGTAAGAGAACAAGGTGATTGAACTGTTGAATTTGGCTTGTGTATCTGCTGATTTGTGTTCCTTGATTGTAACCCTATTTTCTTACGCTTTACGTGAATCAACAAACTTGCTTTCCAAATTCCTTTCCAAACAAGTCATTATTTCAATAACAAAATATCTGAGTAATTCCTTGTGCAAAATGCCTTCAAACTTTTTTTCCTCTTTGTCCTAGCAATAATTCTGAGCCTATGTAACACCTTGCTGATCCTATCCCATTATTTATTTTGCCAGCCAGTGGGAAATTCTATCATGTCCCTTCTTAAAACCTTCAGTGGTGTAGGAAGCGTATATTCAATGGCATCACTGCCCAACCTTCTTACTTATAATTGTGGCAGGCCTCACTGGAAACTGTCTGTTTTACAGTGCACAGAGTTTATTTAAACAATTCACTAAAGCAAACAGTCTACAAAATCTATTTAAACAAATTCTATATCTAAAACAGTATTATCTCCTGATAAAAGAACAATTTCTCTAGCAAAATTCAGTAAGTGCAGGGCATAGTTGCAGACGAATTTAGACACCAAGAAAGAATCCTAGACACAAAAACAAAGTTGCTGGAGAAGCCCAGCAGGTCTGGCAGCTTCTGTGAAGGAAGAAACAGACTTTAACATTTCCGGTCCAGTGGCCCTTCCTCAGAACTGAAAGCATCCTGCTTCCTTTTGTAGTTATGATTTGACAGGGGAGTTATCCAATCATCTCCGTTCTGTAAGGGAACTGAAGTAAGTCTGAGTGTAACCTGTGGCCACACAATCTCCATTGTCATTTTATAGCCTTGGCATTCCAACATCTTGTTTTTGCAAGGCTAAATTTCTCTGATCTTTTACTTCTGTGTTATGGATATTATCATTGAGTGACTGTGCTTACTTCACATTTCACTAGATTGGAACTAGATTTGCACTCCATTTTCCCATTTGCCTTTTGTCTTGTAATTTCCTCTGGCTTGAGTTGCACACTAATATTGATACCAACAGCACATCAAAATAAGTGGGTTTAGAATAGATTCCTGGCACCCACGTGTAAATAAATAAACACCCAAAACAGCTTCTTGGCTAGCAATTATTCTAATGCCAGGGAACGGAGCGTGATGTATGCTGTATGTTATAAAAAACCGTGTCATTTACCACCACTTTCCTTTTTTTTGTTTAAATCCAGATCTCTAGTAATGGATGTGGCAGCACCAAGTTTTGCTTCAGTAACCCTGCACAGTGCAATCCAGCCAGTGATCAGGACTGTTTCTTTATGTCATCCACTCCAAAGGGTAGCCAAGGCTTGCAATTTGAAATGAGTGGGAGGTCACCTGGCTACATCTCGATTGGTTTTTCAGATGACCAGCAAATGGTAAGAAGTCTGTGAAGAAGAATAAATGTATTTGACACCAGTATACAAAGTAGTCAGTACTGGTCAAGAGAATGACATTCCTGGCTGGTAGAGATATACAGATTGCTGCAGCTAGTCAGTTTTGAGTTAACTGACACAGATTGCCCCCAAATTATATTAGAAATGACAAAAAAAGTTAGTGACTGACAACACGGGCTAGCTGATCGTCCTGTTGAGTTGATATATCAGTGTGAGTGCAAGTAAGTTCCCCAAATAGGTACTTTTTTTTTCTTCCCTCTTCAGCTAACTTAGAATAGGAGGTGGGAGAGATATAGTAAAAGGTAACAAGTTTCGTTTTAACATTTAAAGTATTCCTGCAATGTTCTCTTTTTAATATCCATAGAATATTACACTGCTTTCAGAATGAATGAGTTTCTCACTTAATTCAGAATTGCTGCCTGATATAAACTGAATTCCCAGTTATCTAAATACATTTAACACCAAAATAATATGTTTGAATGACTTAAAATGCCATGCCTGACACATTCCATGTAGGCTCTTGTGTGAAGTATCCTGCCATTGACTACTGTTCCATTTTAAACCTAGGGCAATGATGATATCTACATTTGTGGTAAGGACATCTCTGGCAATATACAAGTACAGCGTGCCTATTCCACAGGAAGAGTACGTCCTCGCACAGAGCAGCTGGTAATGAGCTTTCTATTGTACACAAATAGACTGTATACATGGCATCACTGTGCTCCATTTTAAACTTCAGTAGAGCCTAGTGAAAATGGTTTCACTCTTGTGCTTTTGTTTCAATAATTGAAGTGTGTGGGCTTTGAGTCCCAAACCATACTGTAAACCTGCACTCTCGAATGCACTGCTGACATCTGGATTAACGTACAGCATGCAGTACAATTTCTAGTAGACACTTCATCAGGCCAAGTGCCCTGATGTTGAGACATTTGTCACTCAGCAGTGATTTCCCTGAAATGGGTGATTAGTATCCAGTGCGTGCTTGCCTTCTAAATAAGGTGCATGGGCTTTCAAAGTTTGATGGCCATTAGAATGTTATTTCACTGAAGAAAGTGTAGAAAATCATTGCAGATAAAGGTGTGAGAGGGCACTGCCATCTTGTGACATTGTCTCAACTACTTTTAAAACTTATAAACTTGAAAAAGGCCACTGCTACCAGGCCACCAGTGTGAAGGGTAAACTCCTGCCTCCAGGCTGTTGATATAGTTCCTGTTGCCGTGTGGCCTCCGACAATTGATTGACTTTAATAGACTTAATTGGCTACCACTGATTGTAGACACTATGGTAGCCTTCTATCTCAAATTCCATCACCAGGAAAGTGACCTGGGGTGGCATGGTGTTAGCAAACCTGCCTACCCACCGGCGGCATAAATCCTCACACCCATTTGACACCATATGTTGGTGAGAATTCTGCCCATAATGTTTGTTCATTATCATTAAGATACCAATGGATTATTCATATACAGGGTGAAGTGGACAGTATAAATGTTGCTAATGAAAATGGCATCATTCAGTGCACATTCAACACAAGAAACAACATATCAACCGTACCAAGAGCTGCCAATAATCAGTACTACTTATTCTTTGCGTATGGTCCTTCTGCCGGTGGTAAGTATTGCAGTGAGAATCCAAATAAACAATTCTGTTTCATGTCTTTTGATTTCAATGCAGCATCCAAAACATTTGTGTTCTACGTAAAGATTAGACAGCTAATTGATTTAAAACTCAAAATTCTTTTCTTTTACCTCGGGGCACTCCTCAGTGTCTTATCTGCAGAGATAGTAGGAACTGCAGATGCTGGAGAATCCGAGACAACAAGGTGCAGGGCTGGATGAACACAGCAGGCCAAGCAGCATCATAGGAGCAGAGAGGCTGACGTTTCGGGCCTAGACCCTTCATCAGAAAAGGGGGAGGGGAAGGGGGTTTTGAAATAAATAGGGAGAGAGTGGGAGGCGGATAGAAGAGGGATAGAGGAGAGGATAGGTGGAGAGGAAACAAACAGGTCGAAGAGGCGGGGATGGAGCCAGTAAAGGTGAGTGTAGGTAGGGAGTTAGGAAGGGGATAGGTCAGTCCAGGGAGGACGGACAGGTCAAGGGGG